TTTTTTTTGCTATGTTTTCAAGAATGTCTTTTGTCAACATAATAGAGAATAAAGTTTGAAATATATCGGAGCCAGAATATTTGAATTTATTTCCAAAACAGTATAATTATACATTACACAATACGCAATGGACACTTAAAAAAAAAGGTGAAACTAATAAAAAATGACAAAATAAAGAGTAATACTATTTAGCCCCGTTAAAGTTACAATCCCAATTTAGGTGACATTAAGATGACATTAAATGATGGTAAATTTCACATTTCATTAAGTCATTTTTGGGTTACAATTGCTGCATAGCATTATACCAAAATAAATAGATGAAAAGGCACACATAAATATTAAAACCTGACATTATCACTAATTAAACAGTAGAAAAGGTAACATCATTCTTCCAAGTGTTCACTTGCAGTGGCGGTGTTGGGTTTCCGGTGGGTCGCTTTTGCCTTCCAGTATTTGCATGGGGTGGTGGCGTTGGGTTCCGATAGGTCTCCTCCACCACCTTGGCCTTGCAGACAGTAGTTTCAACCATATTTCTGATGTTTGGTACCTCATACTTCTGTGCAATGTAAACTCCACCTATCATGCCTATCATCATCGCCAAACTGCTTCCGATTATACCCATTTTACGTCTGATTAATTGATTTTTTTATGGGTTTTATGAGAATTTTTATTATATTTTAGACAATTCTTGGATAACTGATGAAGAATGATGGGTTTGTGATTTATCTATGTATCGTCTTTGGTGTTGTATTGTGCAAGAATATTAATATATTTTTCTCGAGAGTTAAGGCCGTTGTCTAACCCCTTCTTCAAGAGTCAACTCACAAATATTGAAATTATTTTTTCATTCACTGTATATATCTTGGTTTGATAATATTAAATATTTCTTGTCTACTGTATAATATTGTCCTATATTGTACCGAACATGAGATAAACATTATTATATAATTGTTCAATCGTCATTTCAAACTACACGAACAAAAGACGAGTTAACAATAGTGTGTAGAACGATGCTACATTGTCAGAATTATTTGCCCACTTCTTTGTGACTTTTGGTCATTGGACCGTTTAAAAAACAATCAGTTTTTTCACCCAATCATCTGTTGTCAACACTGCATCTAAGAAGTAGGTTGGCAAAAAATTATGTTAAAATGACTTATTCATTAGTATGTATAGATATAAATATCTATATAATTTAACATAGAAATTATTATTGCAAAAAGAACTATACTAAACCAGGTCTAAGTCGACTAGGGATGGCAAAAATGTGTAAAAACTAAAATAAACAAAAAGGAAGACGCAAAGTATGTCATTATTTGCACAAGCCACTAAGGGTGGTCCATTGTCCATGCCAATCACCAATATATAAAAATCTAGCTTCAACACTATCCAATCCATGTCAAAAATTGGCCACTAATTTCACATTTCTCTGCTCTATAGAACACCAAGCAAATAGTCATAGGGCGTACAATTCCTTTACCAAGTAAGAAAATGTTTGGTTCAAAGGTTATTTCTCTCCTAATTTTACTAAACACCATATTTTTCACTTGTGTATCCTCGCAAAACATTCCATGCCCTCCGGCTCCGGCTACTCCGAAGAAGTGCCCAAGAGATACCCTGAAGTTGGGTGTTTGTGGCGACTGGTTAGGGCTGGTTCATGAGGAGATTGGAGCAAAACCCAGCAGCAAATGTTGTGCATTGTTGGAGGGTCTTGCCAATCTTGAAGCTGCATTGTGTTTATGTACTGCAATTAAGGCAAATGTATTGGGCATTGTAAACTTAGAAATACCAGTTGCCATAAGTTTGGTCATCAATTCTTGTGGAAAGAAGGTGCCTAAGGGCTTTGTGTGCGAATAGGTTTGTTATCTACATATCTTCTTGCACCAATTCTATGTACTTTATGTAATTATTAATTTGCCACTAATTGTTATAGTGTTGAAAATTTCTTTGATAATTGTTAGTCGTAAGTTGTTCAAATCAATCATGACAGAAGTGGCTCCTTTGCCTCCGCCTGTTTTGATTCTATAATGGAACAAATTACAACAGCAAAGTTTCAGGTTCTTTCGAGGGGGAGAGAATTCTGAGAAAGAAGTAAATAAAGCACCAATAGTTTATTCCAATCGTGCTACAGAGCCCGGGTTTAAATCCCGGGCTCCAATCCAGGGCACCTCGGCCGTTGATCTTCTGCACGTGGGAGGCCCGCCATCAAAATCGAGGGCAGAGGCTCTGCCACCTCTGGCCCTGGAACGAACCCGGGATTTAATCCCGGGTTCTTCAGCATTTTCCTAAAAAGTGTGTGGTTTAGAACAAATAAGCTGGCAGGCCACAAATCAATGAGAATGGGTAAAATTCTCTTTTGCACAAACCTAAGCGATAACTTGGTGGTCGAGGCACCACAGGGTTTAAATCATATAAGAAACGTCTCTCTCCTAGCGTGCCCCAACGGTTTCCAACATTCCGCCAAACTCTATTCCTCCACCACCAACTTTCCACGTACGAAATCCAAACTGAATCATTGGGACTGTCAAGTTTTCATCTTACATAAAGCACCATAATAGGTCAAAAAAATCCAATTTGATTGGGTTAACGCAAAATTCCAAAGGAAACAAGTATATTGTCAGCTCTAAGTACAGGGAAATAAATACACTCGTAACTTATCTAACTTGAGAAAAAAAATTCATTGGAACCACCTCTTGAGCTGCTTGGAGCCTTGCTTCTTGTCATCAGTTGGATTAGAATTGTTATGCGTAAATTTGGATCTATATTGTTCGATCAACATGTCCAGTTTATCCACTACATCTCTTCCCAGTGGATCATTATTCTTTTTACCTCTTTTCCTTGGATTACTACCTTCTTTCGGTTGTTTAGTTAGATCTTGAAACCCTCTTTTTTTTCTTTTCAAGTTTGAGTCATCCAACAGTTGTTGCTTATGGGTATTTGCCACTGGTAATGATTCTCCTTCATTGGGCTTCCTTCTTTTCTGCTGGTTCTCTACCTGCTGCTTTGAGCCTTTTAAGGTTTTCTCTGGTAATGTACCATCCATCCTACTTCGCGGAGAACCTTTCTGCTGCTTGGTAGCCCCGCCTACCTCAGTTGTAGTTACTTCAATAGCTTTATTCTCCGATTCACTTCCCTTCTTACTACCAATCTTCTTTATCGTCTTATCTACTCTTGGTTTCCGCTTTCTGGGATTCTTGTTTGCAAGGGATTCCCCGGTGTTTACAGGGTCATTTTGCTGCAAATCTCCAACATCATCAAGAGAAGCCTTCTGAGCTTGAAGTTTTTCTTTACGAAGCTTCAGTGTCTGGACATTATCTAAAGCAAACTCCACAATCGGGCGACACTCAGAACCAAAAGTTTCTGCAAATCATTGAACCAGCACATCCAATTAAATTGAATAATTGCATCGACAAAAAACAGTACAAAATTCTTGGCTTTTGTACCAAAGGAATATTATGAAAGTAAACCTTACACCAGGATTTACTATGGAGAGGCAAATGCTTACAGTTTCTGATAAGAGAGAACGTGATAAGTCTTTTGGAGAAGAATACCTGGATTATTGTTAAGAACTCTCAGGGCCACAAGTGCATGTTGATGCTCCGTGAATTCAACAAAGGCTACTCCACGTGGACGACTTTTTTCTCCTTCCTTTCCTTTCTTATCCTTCAATAATTTCAACTGCACATACATCATAATGTTTTAGAAAATATAGAAATGTCAAAGGAAAAAAATATATATATCCATTAGAAAAGCACATCTGACCTGCCAAATCGTGGGTTTTTGCTTTGTAGCTCGAGCAGTAACAGCATCTATACAAAGTTTCTTGAGACTTTTTTCTTTCATTGACTTTGGCACATTGTATATGATCAGTCTTGTCTTTGAAACATGAAAGTTTGGAGATTGAAGCTTAGTCATCTTTTCATTGTGCAACCTGTGGAATAGTTTGACAGAATAATCATGCTAGAATTGAAAAACATCAACAGCATCATAATATTGAAGCGCACACAGATGTATTGACATAGGCAACATCGACCGCAATAATCATGAGAATCTCTTAATACCATATTTGTTTTCAAGAAGGTTCTGCATATTGATTCAGTTCTCAAACTTGTACGTTTATAATGGTTTGCAATCTGTAATTCCAGAAACTCGACTTTATTCACCAACAAAAAGTAGGGAACCTTCCAATGATTTCAGGCAAAAGAATCAAAGTCGCACTATCAATCAAAATGGTTGTGCCTCCAGAATGTGGCACCATTGGTTGTGCTACATTTCAAAAATTACGAGCACAATTTTTGTAACAAAACCCAGTGGATACACAACAATCACCCCAGGGGAAGAGCAAGGATTTTGGTTCAGCAGGGCAAGACTTAATACGAAAAAATAAAAATTAAGCAAGTTAATAATGATAACATTAAAAATGTAATAATTTATTCTACAATTATTCCCTACAGCATTTCAAATGGCATTTAAAATCATTACTTCTGCAGTAGCAATAAGAAGTTTTTCAAGGTTGCCTTTTCTTGCTAGTTTGCAGCAAGAATGGCACTTCAGTAAGTTGGACAGATTTTGCACAGACATTCAAGCCTGATGCTTATATTCTTGGTTGAGTTGTATTTAGCTCAGTGATAGTGATGTCATGGAAAAGAAGGGACACAAGAATAAATACAGAAAAGGTGAAAGAAGGAAGCTAGCTTGAACTTGTATGAACACTTGGATGAACAGAGCACATAACCTACACTTTATATTTGCTCAAGTTACTAAGAAAATTTCTCTCAGTTTCTTCTTATAAACCAAGCACAATATGCATAAGCAATCAATCACTTGAAGAAAGCATATGGAAATAAATACTAATAAATCAGAATTCAAGAACACTAATAAATAGAACTCAAGAAATCTCAAGAACACTAATTTGTAAAAGTAGAATTCAAGAATAATACGTTCTCCTAAAGTTATGAATGCTCATCAGCAGTACAATTATGTTCCTCATCGTTAGTCTCGATTTGTAGAAGAGCAAATCTTTAGCCTAGACATCTAGAGATGTCCAAGTGCCCAGTGAACGATGAAATAATTTCTATATCCTTAAGTGTGAGAGTATGAAATGATTTTTGCATTATAGAGGCAAAGAAGAAATTAAATAAATAGAACTTAAACTGGAGTCCAAGATTCTATTCACATTTATCTAATCACTGTTCTTTAAGCAATTCAGTTCGGCTTAGCAAACCATCTTTGAACCAAAAGATAACGAGCAAATAGCCTTTGGTAGCAGGGAGCCTAAACCACTCATCCAAGTTTAACGTGCAAAATGATGAAGTCTAAGACATAAAAACAGAAAATGAGCAAGTAAAATTACAAAGTTCTGCTTCCGTAGTGTAAGAGTGTGGATTGTTTGGGGCAGCATCTACTGGAATGTTGCCAGAATACCGATTAGAAACTAGGATTGAACAATTGGGAATTTGGAATCGATTAGGAATTTAGGCTTAAGCATTGTTTGGGCTGGGCTTTCAAAGACTTGGGCTGGGATTAGGAACTTAGGAGGTAGAAAGCTGAATTTCAATTTTCTAAGAAAACCAAAATACCCAGTGGGGGGCCTGTCATAGCTCCGCCCTTGAATCCCACAAATGACAAGTCAAGGCCTCAAGGAGCACAACTGTTGATTTGAAGTTCAAGTCTGCCTAAATACTGTTAATACATTTTCAGGAAAAAAAATGAAAACTGGAATTCTGACGATTATATTTTGTTCATGGGGATAGATGGCCAAATTCATTAGCGAATCCCCTAAACTTTTTTACGATCTTACGTTCCCTAAAAATCCCAGAACCTTTCCACTAAAATAAGAATTTCAGGCCACCAAGATGGCCTCTTATGACTGGCCAAGGCAAGCTTTGTCATTCAATTATGCTGCTACTAATAAAAAGAATATCATTTACTTGTTGCGCTTTGACATGTCACTTGCTGAAACTCCTTCAGCAGCAGGTGTCCCTTCCATGATAAGACCCTCCTGTTAAGAAAGACCGAACACGAATTCAATTGGAAGTTATGAATACGTGACAGCAGAAACAGCAGAAACAATATTAACGTATCCATTTTTCAAGGATTGACAAGAGAATAGCTCAGACTTGTAAACCAACCTTTGCCAGGTAAAGATTGCGGTGGTCAAGGACCTCTTTTTGGGACTTCTCCTGTGCCTTATCCTGAGCTGTTTTCTTGTCCAAAGTCCTAAGAACTTTCAGCTGTCTTCCTTTTAGAAAGATACCTAAACCAGATACAGCATTGGCTGCTGAAAATGCAGCATCAGCAGCATCTGTTGTTTTAAACTTCAGAAATCCAGTCCCCCTGGGTCGCCTGCAAAAGTGTAGCCGGATGTTCACAAAAGAACAATGATAAATAAAGAGATCTTGAAGCAGATATTAGTCAAATACTTGTCCTTACTTGGTCAGTTGATGAAGAACGGGAAAAAACGACTGCACTTCACCAAATGCAGAGAAACGTTGTTTCACTTCTTCATTGTCAATGTCATAAGGAAGATTAGTTATGAAAACAGTGCTGCGCAAGTCATTCTCTCCTTCAGCCGGACTAATTTGTTCACTTCCCAAAGCATTCACTTGTTCTACTGCATGGGAACTGGATGCATCAACTGATTTATCTTGTAATTGAACAATTTCATTACCGTTTTTCCCCTCAGATGACTCTGGGTCATCATTGCCAGAAGTGGTTGCCTTTCTAGAAGATGATGAAATGAACCTCTTGAGTACGTTTCTTGCAACTTCTGCTTCCACGTCAAAATCAACTTCATAGGTACTATCATCTACTTCAACTGAATTCAACTCGTCAGCAGCAGCATCAACACTATGAGATTGTGATTCTTTTGTGACTTCCAAATCATCATCCTCAGAATCACTACTGTCATCTCCATCAATGTCATGCTGTCCTGTAAAAACCACAATTTAAATAGAGTATAATGTAATCATCTTGATTCCCAAAGCAAAAGATATCGAGTCACCAAGAATGTATCACCCAACATATGTTGGGGAATTTTCACGAATTCAATTAAGAAATACGGCACCAAAGCTCATAAATTTGCACATATGATTAAATAAACAAACTTCAGTCAATTATTGAATACTGTGTAATTCTTCAACCAATCAACTTTAAACAAGATGGATCAGAAGAAAAGCTTTGATTTACTCTAACTCGATTTATATTGCAAAATGCCAGCAAAGACTGATAAGACTTCAAACTTTAAACAAGGTGTATTGATAACAGATTACAAAACTGTTGAAGCACCCAAATTTTTAGTATTTGGCCAATTACGGGAAATAAAAAATATAATAGAACGAATAGCATAAGTTAAGGGATTTAGATAATTAAAGGACAAATTACCGTCTTCTAAGGCGGCAACAGAATTGCTGCCAGATGTATAAACCTTTTTCGGAACAGCCCAATCAACAGCAATGGGTCTTTTACCGAATTGTTTCCCGTTAAATTTCTTGATAGCCTGTATATGGAGTAAATGAGTGTGTCAGAGTAATAATCATTGTCCGCCAGTGGAAGATGATTCTAGAAAAAGTAATGATGATGAAAGCTAATGAAGGCCCTATTTGAGCCACATTCTTTCCAAAAAAAAAATACATTCTTAAGCAGTGATTTGACATCATTTCAACCATACATTCTTCATAAAATAATATTACATGCAAATCTAAAACCTTTCCTCATTTTTTAACCATACATTCTTCATCAATCTACTATTCGAAAATACCTTCTTTCAAATTAATATGGCTCAAATACATACTAAATGTATTTAAGGCTCTTTAAAGGTCACACCAAGCTAAGGCCAGGAGTCATATAAATGCTCTTAGAATTCAAGTAGCAGCATTCAAGTAATTTAGATGTTATGCATATCTTCAGAGCTTTAAAAAACAAAAAGTATACCCCAGGAACTATATTTAGAATCTTCTATTTTCAAATTTTTTCCATTGCCAAATCTTCAATATTGATAGCTTCTTTCCTCGTGCTAATATATCCCAAGAAATTCCAAGTTAGATCTAGTAAAAGAGATCTCAATCTCAGAATAAGCATGCCCTAGACTGACTAGAAGAAGCATGCCCAGAGATACTCTTATATTAAGATCTCTCCAACCCATATTTCTCCTGAATATTGATCTATTTTAGCCTTTTTCTCCATTTTTGATCCCTTGAAATTTCTTAATTAAGCAGCAGACAGGGGACTAATCAAGGCTGGGGCTTGCATCACCAGAAGAACAAGTTTAGCTTTGGCATTTAAGAACAGATAGAACAGTATTCATCAAACAGAAGGCATACATTTTCAGCTTCCCCCTTCGACGTGAATTTAACAAATGCAAATCCTTTAGATAACCTGCAAGAGGTAAATCAAGAGTGAAAACTTAAAAACTGACACCATAAGTACATTGGGAGTAAATTACAAATAATTGCATGTCATTATATATCTACCCAGTCTCAGAATTTCGAGGAATAAAAACTTCCCACACACATCCAACAGAAGCAAACATATCTTTTATCTCAGCAACTTCAGCCTGCAATCAATAACCCACAGAAGAAATATTCCCTTATCATGTATTGTTGAAAACAATAAACATAAGAGTATGACCCACTGTAAATTGTTAAATTTCAAGAGAAGAAAGTAACCTTGAATGGGAGATTCCTCACTATGAGTTTCCACTTCTGAGTTTTAGAGCCCTGGTCAAGACATGCAAGCATAAAAGGACCTTGAGTCCCTCAATCACACATAAATGAAGGAAAGAATTCTATGCAGAATGATGTTAATCGCAGTAGTGTCAGGGCTATAACAAGAAGCATGTCATGTTAGAACTTCAAACAAATTAATTGATGGTCAATGACATAATTGTACAACTTACACACCAGAAAGCACTGTGCTAATATATTCGTATATAATCAAGATTGCATCTTTTGACATAGTGGCTTCCACACTAGCATGGTGCTTAACCTAGAACACTTCGACCATAAGTTAGAGATGAACTCTAGAGATTTACTGAGCTGAGTAAGCAATCTGGTAGGGTGTACATTAACAATTGATTTTGTTGCGTTCTATGAGTGAGGTAGGCAGCAGAGAATCAGTTGTTGGAAGCCAAGACCTTCCCTCATTTTTTGAGGTCTGTGTTTTGATGCATCTTTAGCAAGTGCAGGGAAGCCATTGTTACACAACAAACAATGCATAGTTGTTTTACAAAGTAAAGGTGTGGCACACTAATCAAAGGCAGCATTTGAAACCCTTGGAAGTTCAGACTTCAGACTCAAATTGTGAGACTACCATTTAAAGTCACTAGAAAGCAGTGAATTACACTACGTGATTTCATCTTTGATGCACTGATTTTAATGAAGTTTGACAACTAGTCACAAAAAGCAAAAATTAGTTAGTCAATTGCTTCATATAGGCATACATATCGTTCTAGAGACAGTAACCCTACCTCTCCACCCAGCTGACGTGCCCAAATAGATTGCCCATGTATCTCCTTTTGGTGCAACACTGCAACACATGCACGGGCCGATTTTACACTCATAAAAAGTACAGAAGAAGCATCCATTTTACATCCATCTTGAGCTAGTCCTGCACATGATCATATATTGGAGGCCATATCACCATCTCAAACAAAAAAATTCAATTCCTCTGAGGAGCATATAAGTTGCTCAGGTAATTAAGCAACAGCACAATGAGGAAACAATACTTGATCTTTCTACTAAAGATGAGTAATTAAAACTTAGGTAACTGTGAGAAAGTTTCAATAAATACTCAAAATTAAAACAAAAATGTATCAATAAACAACAAGCCCACTAAGTCTTATCCCGATAATATTTGGGTCGATTACATGAATTTATTTTCTCCATTCCGTTTGGTCCATCACTACTATATAAGATCCTATGGAACTTGATCCTTCACAAGCATTTTTAAAGAAAAGTACATATAAACCTGAAACAAAAAACCAGAAAAACAACAATACGGCAAAGAAAAGCATGTGAACATTGTCCCATGTTTCTATAATTGTTTTGTTAGACAGCTTTCCCTCCTACCTTATGGAAATTAGAGCGCAAGCAAGAGTTAAGGGAGACAGTACAGAATCCAGGAATTGTGCCAGGAAAAGGATGCAAAATATACTATAAGAGTTCAAGGAACAGTAAGATGGTGTCACATTCAATTTCTTATACGTTCCATTTCAAAACCATAGGACAGCTCAACAGTGCTCCATGTCTATTTTCTTGGACAAGCATCAATAATACTACGCGTGTCTTTCAAGACATCAATAATATTATGCGTGGATTCAAATAATAAAACTATGCATGTCTTTCAAATCATCAATAATACCATATTTTTATACTGACCGGCTCCCTTCTCAATTAACAACCTTTACTTGGAAGCTTCATACACAAAAAGTTATAAGTAATTTCAGGGAAAAAGCTCAAAGCCCAAATTGAAGGCAACTGAAAGTACTATTAACTTTAAGAGAAAAGGGAGTTGAAAATTTTCAAACTACTGTATTTGGAGAAATGGAGATGAAAGGAACGTCAGGCGCAGTAAGTTATACAAAATTTAATTTCTGTAACACCATTTTTCACTCTAATCGATAATTCAGTTCAAGCATTGCCTTCTTGACAACTACTTGTTACTATGTTGACAATTTCCACCTATATTCTTCTACAGTTCGTCTCCCTATGGCATTAACAGATACTGGTCAAGAGAAGGGTGATGCTTTAAGTAGAATCCTTAATAAAAGATCTATCAAAGAGATGTCTGAGCAAGAAATTAGAAATCCTCCTACAGAAACGGAGAATGTTACGAGGATATTATCTAACTTTTGACTAGTAAAATGGACGACGGTGTGACAACTAGAACTTATATATACGTATGAAGCATGAAGCAGACCTTAGTAAGTTTCTTAAACATGTCAGATTATACCTAATAAAGACCTGTAGAGAAGGATACTGTCGATATGGATAAGTGGGGCAAAATAGAATGTGATAGAATTGTTACATGTTAGGATTTAGACTGCAAGAAGCATTGAAGCAATTTATCTGTTACGCAACATAAACGGATGTGCTGCGATTTTTTTATGTTTTTCAATCGTGTTTGATGATTTTTTATTTTGAATCTGTTCGACATATATAGCTTAACTCTCGCATTAAAAGGCAAAGAAACAAAGAAGTGACATCCAAGGCAGTGGCTCTGTAAGGGCTCACTCAGCTCTAACTCCAGAAGCTAGACTAGCTTAAGGATCCGTAGAAGTTTTCTACGTTCATTCAGCGGGTGCAGAAGGTTACTCACGATGAGACCAAAATAAACTTGTTAACGTAAATTAGGAGCTGCAACATATAAATGTAGTTACCATGATGCTGAAGCACTTCTCTGGGAAGAGGGTAGGTGACAGAAAATATTGTGCCACAGTCCCTTGCTTGACGGTGTACTTCCTCTGCCACATTAGCATTAAGAATACCACCAAATATGACTGTCTTAGCAACCCTATTTAGCATGAAGAGAACTTCGTGTTAGATATGCTGAACAAGAAATTAATTATAAGCAAATAATATCATAAAATTAAAATATACAACTACAAATTTAGAAAATCGTACTTCTGAACTAGAACTTGAAAGCATATTTATATAGAAGTTACTAAGTTGAAGGTTTGAAAATCCTTCGTTGTAGAAAATATCAGCTGAAAAAAGTTCCTCGGACAAAGCCAGCCAGTTTTCAAACTGACTTAGGTTACTAATCTAACTTTCAGAGGGAAAACATGGTTGTCCCTATATTGAATCAGGTGCTGTATCATGACTTCACTACTGATACCAGTTCCTTAGCTGATAAGATTAGGAACAGAACATAGTCTTACATAAGCCAATAGATATATTCTAATAAGTATAAACGAGATTGATGTGGACATATCAATCAATCTGAAATTAAAAATATAAAAGAAAAAGGAGCTAGCAAAAGAACAGTATAATCAAGAAATGACAAAAATGTAAATAAAAAGAAACTACTTTACATCTCAAGGGGGCATCTAAGAAGCAAAAATGAACGTAACAATTTTGATACTACCTATCTATCATTACAAGCCAAACTACAATTCAAGAGATGAAGAATGTGATTGATAATATTTGATGCAACCTAGATGTCACACTTTACAATAAATATTCATCTTAGGAGAAATAACAAACTTTTTATTCCTGTCTATATGATAATATCAAGCCAATAACCTGGTACCTTTGTTTTTCTGAACCAATCCCTTCATCAAGCAGACTTCTCGAAATCACAGTTCTTTTCCGTTTCTTCATGGATTTACCTGTTTAAAATCAACAAAAACATATATTAAGTACGAAAAAATTGGAAAAAGAATATCAATAGTCTTAAGGGACGTGTAAACATTTTTGTAGTTAGATACCTTCTACTTGAGAGTTTGGTGCCCTCTCAAGCTTTTCTACCTTTGTGGCTGAAATGTCCTTGTCGTTTTTTGTTTCAATAACATCTTCAGAATGAACTACCAAGTGGAAAAGGCATAACAACATAACATCAAATAAACATCAAGAATGAATTTACATCTTTACCTTCTGGTGAATATAGTAGCTCATTGATGCCGATTTGCAGAGAATAATAAAGGATAGGGAATTATGAAGAGAGAAATGAGAAAAGTAGATTTATTCAGTCAAGTGTGTCTCTTACAATTCAAGAACCTCAATTTATAGGTTCAAAATAGAAATGAAAAAAGAAACTTCGATAAAAAGGAAAACTTGAATTTCCTTTATTTAAAAAGAGACAAATTTTCTATTCTACCAAAAACAATAAAATGCGTTAACGAAGATTTGATCCCTAATTGATTTGATTCCGTCTATGTCGAGAATATACTTTCCAATTTGCATCACTCATTTTGTAAACTTGAGTCAAAACTTAAGAAAACATAAGTTAGCTATCTCAAAGTTTGATACCTTTCGGTTCCTTCTCAAGCTTTTCCATGTTTGTGGCTAAAACGTCTTTGTCAGTCTTGACATCATCTTCAGCATGAACTACAAGTGAATAAGTCATAAAACAGTACTATTAAATTAACTTCAAGAATGTATTGACATCTTTAAATTCCAGTAGATGAGGTAGCAGATACTGT